ATCATACGCCACGATTAATAATAACTAATAATTAACTTTTATAAAGAAGGCTTAGTACTTCATGGTAAATGCTATCTTAGACACTGAGCACTCATCTGCGCAGGGGAAACTGAAGCACAGAGCTGGAGATGGTTCATCATTCTTAGTCTGAGAAAGATGTGCATTGCCTGAGTAGGGCATGGAGACCTTTAGAAAGAAGTCTAAGTGGATGACGCAGCCCAGGAGAACTGCCAGGCACTGCAACACTGCCTCCTCCATTGCCACTGACTGGAAGAAAGAAATGCTCAAATGTAAACGGCCATTCACATTAGGACTTGTCCAGTACACACTGACTAGACAGGAACCAACAAGGACTCAACTTTTCAACATGAAACATAAAATCTAGCCCCGTTGGGTGTTGGATTCTCCTTATTTGACCTCTTAAAGGAGCCTGGAAAACTACAAGCTGTACTCTGTGCTGCTGCTCCATGTTAGAGCTAAGACATTAAAATATGGAACATTAGGCTGTCAGTGCCAAGGAAAACTGCTACAATAACTACTGACATCACCAAGGTGAAGGTAAAGTCAGGTGCCACTGTCCCAAAAGTCCTGGCAGTAATGTTAGTTAACACTTGTTTGAATCATAATTTTATACCTATAGGTAAGCACTGTGTGTAAGAAAAACAACTACCCTTTTGGTACACAGAGTCTCCAAAAAAGTTGGGAGTTTTAATTTTCGTGTAAACTGAAGTAAAAGTCATAGATAATAATTTTAAATGGTTGTTTCTAGAATGTGGATTTGACAAGACTACTGAACTGATTTCTTAATAAGGTATTTGTTACATATAGAACACATTTTAAAAGCAGAAATTTATGGTAAATAAATTTTATCCACTGAATTCAAACTATTTTAAGATGTACTGATTCATGCTAGCAATAATCACAATACAATTAATTATTCCTGATTAATTCACTGTTCAAATATTTCATCTGATAATCAAAAACCTAAAATTTCCCATGCATATCAAGGGCAGCATAAGTACAAAGGCTGCCAGTTGGGGAATTTGCAGCACAAGAGCTTCAATATTTCAGGGTGCTATCGTTTCTCTTCTCCCACCCTCTCCGTTTTTACAGACTTATTTACAACCCAAAAGCAAACTTTATTTGCTACAGTAAAATTCCTGTTTCCTTTCTCAAGTAATTATTGGTTTGGGTGGTAAATAGAAAGATATTTATGCCTTAGGATTTTTTTTTGGAATATATAAATGTGACACCTACAAGGTAAATATCTATTAAAATGCATGGAAAAACAGCCTTTTTGGAAAACAAAAAATAAGCCTTCAATTTCCAAGGATTATGTAGAAACTTAAAGGCCCATGACTTTGAATGTGGAGCCATGTAACAGAAGACCACAATTAAAAGTATGCCTTATGTTTTCAATACGTTGCTTCCTATACGAAACAAATACCTATTAACCTGTAACTTTTTCGTCTTTAATTAACGCTTGGAGAATTTCTATCTGGGCTTATCAGATTTTGGGTAGGGAAGGGAGGAATGTAATTCTTTCTGAAGAAAATGGGAGAAATCCACAAAAGACAAATTAATCTGAGCAAGACATTCTAGAGGAAAGAACTAAATCAGATTGTATGTTAAAAGAAAAAGCAAGTATAAGTGTATTCAGTTTTTTGACTAAATACACTTCCTATACTTCCTAATAACTGTCTTATAACTCAGAATCTGGGCTGAACCAGGGTACGATTATTCCCTGTATTACCTTTATACCTAACAAACTGGACATAACTCTGAACATGCATCAAAGTAAGTGAATGACTTCTTGCAATTTACCCAAAATAGTGAGAATCAGTTTGTGTTAAATGTTATCCTCCCTTGTGGAGCCAGCCACTTAATATAGATGTAGTATCCTGATCAACTAATTTTAAAATTCTGTACTCTGAAAGGTACTCCTCCAGTGTTACTGTACTAATCTATAATGAGGGAATTGCATTTCCTTCTTCCAGGTGAACAATCTATGTGAACATGGAATACAAAAGAATCGGAAGCCCGAATTTCTCTTCTGTACTCTCCAGCTGGCTTCCTTTAAGGGAAGGAAGGTTTAGGATACAGCAAATTCACACCACCAGGTTAGATGTGTGAAATGACACATCCCAGGAAGGTAGAAGTAATTTTTGCATCATCAGTGTGGATGCTCTAAAGGCACTGCTGATCAAGAGGGACACTGAAGAAATTCCAAGGGTCAGGAGGCTGGCTCTGCCTGGTCTATCTCATCATCCAAGAAAACACAGTTGCTAACGGACACATGCTCTAAGGTTAGAAAAAAAGTACTTCATTTTCCAGTGTGGCTACAACAAAGAAAAGTGGGCAAATGACACTTAAGAGACTAAATGATAAATCCATCTCTGAGTTGTCTCAATCAAATTCTATAAATCTTTTGATTCTCCAATTTAACTGTTTGCTTTGGCTTTACCAGGTTTGAGAGGAATACTAGAGATAATAAGCGTAACACAACATATTAACTAAGTCCTCCAAATGCGTGTTAAATAACAAAACAATATAGTTATACTGACCTGTGATTTGCTTATTGTTTTGTTTGTTTGTTTTTTGAGACAGGGTCTTACGCTGTTGCCCGGGCTGGAGTACAGTGGCACAATCATGGCTCATTGCAGCCCCGACCTCCCAGATTCTAGTGATTCTCTGACCTCAGCTTCCCAAGTAGCTGGGACTACAGGCACACGCCACCATACCCAACTAATTTTGGTATTTTTTTTTTTCTTTCTTTCTTTCTTTTTTTTTTTAGTAGAGACAGAGTTTCACCCTTTTGCCCAGGCTGGTCTTGAATTCCTGAGCTCAAGAGATCTACCTGCCTCCCAAAGTGGTGGGATTACAGGCACACGCCACTGCACCTGGCCTGACCTGTGATTTTTAAACTCATCTTATTAATTTAAATTTAAAGTTAATAAGAGAAAGCCAAAATTAAAATTAAAAAACAAGAAGAAATATTCTTATTTAAAAATAAGTATATTTGGAAAAAGGGCTAGTGGAAAGGGGGGCTAAAATTAGCCTTTATATAAGAAACTCTGTGATGCTGAAAGCAGCCATAGTCAATTAAACAAAGTAGGGGTGACTCACCACATATTAAGGGTGTTCTCTTTAGTAATGACAACAGCAATTCAATCACCAAAATTATTTAATCTACAGATCTTCTAGACATTTATCAGAAGTCTCACTAGAGTATCATTTTCTAATACCTGAACTTTGTTTTGGGGAGGCAAATTTCTAGAAAAAGAATCTTAATGTGAAGGCACAAATCTGGACTACCACCTGGGTTCAGAAGATAGCTTAATATTTAACAGTTTATATCCCAAGAGACTATTAAAAAGCAATGTAGGTTTTGCAACAGTGCTATTTTCTTTTTTTTGCTTATAAAAGAGACAAGTGACAATGAAAGTTAATGTGAGCGTATTTTAATTGAACTTAATCTTTTTTGTTTTTTTGTTTTTAATTGTACTTATTCTTGAGATGGTTAATTTATAGCTGTATAGGTATACTGACATACCACACATAATCATATATGCATGAATATAGAACATATATAGTGTACACACATACACACACTGTGTAAGCATGAAAACAAAGTGAAGAAAAACACTAAGTTGGCTCAAATAATATTTCCCCTAAGAGCACTTTCCTGGAATTGTACAATTGAGAAAAGATCATTACCTAATACTCTGAAAGAACAGCACACATACCTCAAACTCAGATGTCTAGACAATTTGGCCTAAAATCTCAATCCAAAGGTCAACTATTATAAAAGTTTCAAATATGATTTCTAATTTTTAATTTTGTTTTTAGAATTAAAGAATAGGAGTTTTAGTTCTTCCTACTGTCAAAAGCTGAATTGGCCAGAGTCAAGCATAAAGAATTTTAAGTTAGATAAGGAAAACAAATATTTAGAGGGGAAAAAAGTATAACATCCAATTTCTTATAAGAATAACAAAAACGTTAATATCTACATACATCTAAAGTAGTATATGACTGTTTATAAGAAATAAACTGTGTTGTGATTTTAAGAATTAACATTCTTTTTTTTCTTTTTTTTTTTTTTTTGAGATGGAGTCTCGCTCTATCACCTAGGCTGGAGTGCAGTGGCGGGATCTCGGCTCACTGCAAGCTCCACCTCCCAGGTTCACGCCATTCTCCTGCCTCAGCCTCTCGAGTAGCTGGGACTATAGGCGCCCGCCACCACGCCTGGCTAATTTTTTTTGTATTTTTAGTAGAGATGGGGTTTCACTGTGTTAGCTAGGAAGGTCTCCATCTCCTGACCTCGTGATCCACCCACCTCGGCCTCCCAAAGTGCTGGGATTACAGGTGTGAGCCACCACGCCCAGCCAATAATTAACATTCTTAAGATGATACAGTTGTAAAGTTAAATCAGAAACACCAAATCTGAAAGAGGCTGTGATCTAACCATTTTACATTTCCTCAGAGTTTTGGCATTTTCCCAATTTTACTGTGCAAATGTGACAAAACCATACACCACTTCTGCCACAAGAGACAAAAGCAATTACTCCACTAAAACAGTAAGATTTAAAAATGTGAGGTAACAAAATAAAGATCTACATTTAAGCGCAATGAAGATAAGAAGTGGCAGAAAAATTCTTAGTTTTAAAAAAGAAAACAATCCCTTTTAATAGTATTCAAAGAACATAAGAAAGATAAAGCTTTTGGAATCAACTTGATGTGATTGCAAACAGACAAAAGAATGGAGATGTGTCAAAATATGATTCAGGTTAAAAATAGATGTCATGCTGGGGCCACTCATTGAGCCCTAATTTATAGATGCCAAATTCATTTTTGTATTTTCAAGGAGAAAAGTGCAATTTAGATTGTCTCACAATGGCATAATAAATTTTTCTGCCTGAGATTAAATAGCAACTAATCATTTGGACAGTTAAAAAAATTAAAGGGTAGGACATACATGTAGGCACACATAAAAGAGTTACCTTCAGCTGATTATTGAAAATATCAATCTCCTGTAGTTTTGATCTAGTTTCTTTCTCCACTTCATCCAGTTGGTCTCGTAGCTGCTGCCGAGCTAGTTCTTTTGCTTCTAAGGCTCTTTTAAGTGTAATAAGTGAATCTCCTATTTTAGAAAAACATTGCAAAGATAAGAAAAACTTTAATTTGCAGTGAGGAAAATGTTTTTTAATGTTCTCATTTCACTTAAGGAAATTCTTGCTGGTTATAAAATAAGAGAAGGCCAGGCACGGTGGCCTATGCCTATAATCCCAGCACTTTGGGAGACCAAAGCGGGCAGATCACCTGGGGTCAGGAGTTCAAGACCAGCCTGGCCAATACAGTGAAACCCCATCTCTGCTAAAAATACAAAAACTAGCTGGATATGGTGGCATGCACCTGTAGTCCCAGCTACTTGGGAGGCTGAGGCGAGAGAATCTTGAACCCGTGAGGCGGAGGTTACAGTGGGTCGAGATTGCACCACGGCACTCTAGTGGTGTGCCTGGGGGACAGAGCGAGACTCCATCTCAAAAAAAGAGAGAAAAAAGTAAAGGTCAACTTTAAAAATAAAACACCTACTGTGCAAACTGTTCTGCTGAACTTGTTTTAATTGGTCATTGAGTATCTGTTTTTCTGGAATAAGTCTTCCAAGCATTTGCTGAGATTCCTGGGAAGGAAGGAGGAAAACAGTAATGAATGACAGGGAAGGCTACCATGTCTACATTAAGATCCAGGCAGAGCTTAAGTCAGTTTTCTCAGACTCTTCCCAAATCCTGTACGGTGAAGCTGCATTTAATCATTAGCTAGGTGAGGCTCCTGCTTTCTTGCTAATAAATTAACTGTTTGCCAAATGCTTTTCCCTAAAATAAAGTTAAGACAGCTATAGCTTCCCTGATATTTCTTATATTTTTGTTGACTTACTGGATATTTATAAGCTTCAAAAAATGTACATTAAGTACCACTCCACAGAGATAAATTGAAGTAATGATCTTCCAATGGCACCGGGATCAAATGCAAATGTAGTGATCCTACTGTTTGTAAACTCACTCAGTGGTCTAAATAGGAGTTATCTTATTACTCTGTCCTGAACTTTGATACTTACTAAGGCTGAACTTAGGTTTACCATATACCTGAAGTTGGAAACAGAAATCAAAGATTTTTAACAACTAGAATCTTAGCTGCTGTATATATTTTTCCACCACACTGGATGGAATTTTAAACAGGTACACAAAAGTTTTGAAGCAACTATTTTTTAACTGACACAAGAAAAAAGTTAAGCCACACTGCACAGGCTGTTTGGAATTTTTGTGGTTAACTTGCCAAGCATAGTATTTGCTTAAATTTAGCTTAAAATATCCTGTATAGTTTCTGCACATTTCAGTAAATGGCAGCCTTCCCAGGTTATAACAAAGAATATTTGACTCTTATTTTTACCTTGATAAAAAATGAGCTCTATGTATTGACTTTTTCTTTGAAAAACTAAAAACGCCTTAATTAAAATTTTTCATCAGAAGCTAAAAACCAGTCCATTTTGGAATAACTACCTTTAGATACAGACTGGTTTACGTGGAATAAATCTCTGTGTAATGTATGTCTAAATGGTAGACAGAGTTAACTCAATAGCAAGAATTTAGAAGCATGTTCTCCTATGAATAATCCATAACAGAAAAAAAAATCTTGATAAAACAGAATACACGTATCAGATCTGACTTATCTCCAAAGCAAGTATCTGCTAATCCCTGTACAGAAAGGGAACCAATATCTCATTACCTACTACATACTTTTCTTTCTTCAAAGAATGTTTTATTTTTTACTTCATTACATTTTGGGGAATCCTGATTTTTATCATATTATCAATAAGTGAACATTCTAAGCATCAATCTTAAATAATAAAAATTGTACTTGGTCATATAGTATTAGATGATAATACTTAGATAAATAAACCCATGGCCTTCATCCTTAAATTTTCCAGGAGAATATTTTATGGAACTTCACCTCAAGAGTTAATGAAAGACACTTAAAGAGAGTTAACACATAGAAAAATATACTTAGGCCAAGGTGGGTGGATCACCTGAGGTCAGGAGTTCGAGAACAGCCTGGCCAACATGGTGAAACCCCATCTCTACAAAAAATAGAAAAATCAGCTGGGTGTGGTGGCGCTTGCCTGTAATCACAGCTACTGGGGAAGTTGAGGAAGGAGAATCACTTGAACTCGGGAGGCGGAGGTTGCAGTGAGCCGATGTTGCACACAGGGATTACCAGGCATCTTGGGCAGACCACTGAGACTTTGTCTCAAAAAAAAAAAAAAAAAAAAAAAAAAAAATATATATTATATATAATATATACTTTAAAAAGTGCTATGCATTTGTAATATTTTAAAAATAATTTCCAGCGATTCAACTTCTGATACTTTTTACTTTACAAATCTCAAATTTCAAATGTATAAGAACATTCTTAGGACTTCAAAGTACATGAAACAATAACTGAACAGAATAGAAATGAAAGGAAAATGGACAAATCCACAATGACCAGGATTTCAGTGTTCCACTCTCAGTAGCTAATAAAAGTAGTCACAAAATCAGTCAAGACATAGGAGACTTGAAGACCACCATGAATCAACTTGATCTAACTGACATTTAGGGGACACTCTACAAAACTATAACAGCATGCACATTCTCTTCAAGCGCCCATAGAATATTCCCCAAGACAGATCATATGCTGAGCCATAAATCTCAATAAATGTGAAAGAATTCAAATAAATTACAAAGAAAATTTTAAAAAGATTTTGAATTGAATATGAAAATGCAACATTTTAAAACTTTGTGGGATATGGCAATTTCAGTGTTTAGATGGAAATTTAAAACTTAAAATGTTTGTATCAAAAATGAAGAAAGGTCCAAAATCAATTATCTAAACTTCCTCCTTATGAAGCCTGACAAAAGAAAATTAAACCCCAAATAAGTAATTGGAAGAAACAAGAGAAAAAGAGCATAAATAAATAAAACAGAAAACAGACATACCACAGAGAAAAACAATAAAGCCAAGAGCTTATTTAAAAAAAAAAAAAAATCAATAAAGCCAAGAACTTATTTTTTAAAAATCAACAAACTCCAGATAGACTGATCAAGAAAAGAAGGAGGAGAGAGACAGTAGGAGAAAGGAGAGAAGGGATTAGGAAGGAAAAGGAGGAGGAAGCTGGAAGACAGAGTGAGATGACACAAATCACCAATATCAGGAAAGAAAGAAGGGACATCACTACAGATACTACAGACTTGCATACAGTAAGAGAATGTTAGAAACAACCTTATACAAATAAATTCAGTAATTTAGATAATATAAACAAATTCATTGACAGATACAAATAATCAAAACAGATTCAAGGAGAAAAAGAAAATCAGAATAGCCCTATACCTACTGAATAAATTTTATAATTAAGTCTTACCACAAAGAAAATTCCAGGTCCAGAGGGCTTCACTGGTGAATGCCACCAAAATTTAAAGAAGAAATGCTATTTCAACACAAACATTTTTAGAAAACAGAGGAGGAAGGAATACTTTCCAACTCATTTTCTTAGGCCAGCATTACCCTGATATCAAAACTAGACAAGAATATTAGAAGAAAACTAAAAACCAATTATCTCTGTTGAATTGAATTCAATAGATTTAAAAAGATCCTCAAAAAAAAAAACGGGAAATGGAATGTAGTGAAATATTTTAATAAAGGGTAATATACCATGATCAAAAGTGGTTTATCCCAAGAACGGAAGGCTGATTTAACATTCAAATGGCAATCCATGTATTTCATCATATTAACAAAATAAGAAAGAAAAAACATAATACTTATCTCAATAGATGCGGGAAAAAACATATGATCTAATTCAACACCCATTCATCATAAAAACCCTCAGCATAAAGGGAAGTCCATCAACCTGATAAAAGGCATTTACAAGAACCCTGGTTAACACTATACTCAATGGTGAGAGAGCTTTCCTTCATCGAGAGGGAACAAGGCTCTTCCCACTTCTATCCAATATAGTATGGGAGGTTCTGGTCAACAAAGTAAGATACACAAAGAAAGTTAGTTAAGCAATCATATATATAAGGTCAATATACAAAAATAAGTTCTATTTCCATATACTGGCACCAAACAACTGGAAACTAAAATAAAAATATGCAATATACGATAGCATCGAAAGCCACAAAATACTCAGGGATAAACTTTACAAAGTATATATACAAGACTTAGACACGGCAAACTACAAAACATTGCTGAGTGAAATTTATAACAACCTAAACAGAGATTTATGCCATAGATTTACTATTGCTAAGATGCCAAATCTTCCCAAATTGACTTATAAATTCAATGGAATTCCAACAAAATTCCAAGCATGTCTGGTAAGCTGATTCTAAAATGTACATGGAAATGTTAAGGACCTAGAATAACCAAAAACAATTCTGAAAAAAGAAGAACAATAACAGAGAATTCGTATCATCTGACTTCAAAAATTAGGTATCGACAGAGTGAGACACTGGTAAAGGACAGACAGATCTAAAGAACAGAATAGAGTCCAGAATAGACCATTACAAATATGTTTAACCGATTTTCAACAAGCTACCAAGGTAACTCAATGGGAGAAAAGACAGTGTTTTTAATAAATCGTGTTATAACAACTGTGTATCAGTATGTAAAAAAAAAAAACCTCAACCTTTACCCTATATGCAAAAATCAACTTGAAATAGCTCATAGACCTAAACATATAAGATACAACTATGAAACTTAAAATTTTAAAGTTTTTTTGCAATTTATAAAAACTTAAAACTAATTTTTTTTAAACCCCAAAAACTTCTAGAAGAAAATAAAATATCTGCAATCATGGGGTAGTCAAAGATTTCTTAGATAGAACATAAAAAGCATGAACACCAAAAGAAAAAAAATGGTAAACTGAACTTTATCAAAATTTAAAACTTCTGCCCTTTAAAAAATGCCATTACAAAAATTAAACCCAAGCCAGATTGGGAGAAAATATTTGCAAAACATGTATCTGACAAATGACTTGTTAAGAACATAAAAAGAACTTTTACAAATAAATAGTAAGACAAACAGCCCAATAAAAAATGGGCAAAAGATTTGTTCAGACACTTCAACAAAGATATACAGTAAAAGATACTCGCCAATAAACATGTAAGATGATTCCCAACATCATTAGCCTTCAGGGAAATACAAATTAAATGATCAGAATGTAAAATGGTACAAACTCTGTGCAGTTTGACAGTTCTCTTGCTTTTCTTTCTCTTCTCTCTTTTTTTTTTTTGAACAGGGTCTCAGTCTGTGGCCCAGGCTGTCAGTGGCTCAATCATAGCTCACTGCATCCTCCATCTCTTGGGCTCAAGTGGTCCTCCTGCCTCAGGCAGGTACTACAGGTGAATGCCCCCATGCCAGCTAATTTTTAAATTTTTTTAATGTAGAGATGTTGGCCAGGCTGGTCTCAAATTCCTGGGCTCAAGCAATCCTCCTACCTTGTCCTCTCAAAGTATTGGGTTTACAGGTGTGAGCCACTGTGCCTGGCCTGACAGTTTCTTGTGGGGTTAAATATATACTTATATGACATGGTAGTTCCGTTCCTAAAAATTTACCCAAGAGAAATAAACCATTTCCGCATAAAGACTTGTACATAAATGCTCACTGCAGTTTTATTCATAAAAGTTCCAAACTGGAAAGAACCTGAATATCAACCAATAGGTGAATGAACATATAAGGAAACACTACTCTGTGATGAAAAGAAACAAAGGAGTCATTCACTCAATAACATGGATATATCTCAAAAACATCATGCTGAGAAAAAGTCTGACATAAAAGAGTCACAGACAAATATGATCATCTGCAGGCAACATTTACATGAATTTGATGTTCGACACTTGGTACCAAACCAGGTTATATCATAACAACTTTGGACAGGGTTTAAAATGAAGACAGAACTACTAATAGTGCTCTGTGCCTCTCCAACTATTTATGATACGTATAGCTCTCATATGACACCCCTAAAATACTTAAGTGTACTTATTTATTATAATTATCGCAGTAAAGCCAAAGTCTTGTTGGTGGACTACAGGTTCTGTGTGATCCAGCTCCCACCTGCTCTAACCAGTAGTCTCCTTGCTGTAACTGGCATCTCAAGAGTCCTGCCATGGCCTCAGGACTTTGGCACTGCTATTTCTCTGCCTAGATCTTGCTCTACCAGATACCCACATGGCTTAGCCTATCATTAATTTCAAGTCTCTGCTCAAATGTCACCATCCAGAAAGACCTGTCTTGGCTACCTTAGTTAAAATCACAACCTTTCTTATCCCTAGGACTCTCTATTCCCTTCCCTACTCACTCTCCCTAGCACTTTTCATCTTCTAATACAGTACATACTTTATTTTGTTAGTCTCTGTTCCTCCTGCCAACAGAGAGGGTAAGCTCCCAGAAGACAGAGTGTCTGTCCCTGCTGTAGCCTCAGAAACTGCAAAAGCATCTGGCCCAAAGCAGTGCTCAATAAACATTTGCTGAGTCTGTCTCCTTGACAGGCTACTTTTCACACAAGGACCCTGTCTACTTCATTTTTGCTTCCCAGTGCCTAACACAAGATAGTTGCTTAATGTTTACTGAATAAATAAGTAAATGAAATGAATTAGAGAAAAGGATGCCAGTTTAATAGCATTTAAGAGGCATATTTCCTCACCTGTAATTGTTGCTGTAGATGGGTGATTTCGGCAATTCTCAACTCTCTAGATTTGTTTGTGCTCTCAATTTCTTGCCTTTGGGTGGTCAATCGACATCTGATATCTTGAAGTTTCCCTTCTAGTTGATGCTTTTTATCATTCTTGAACAAATGAAAGAGTAATAAAAAATTACTACTATTTTTAATGGTTCCATCTTAGTATATTTCCAAAGTATAACCAAACTTCACTCACTAGAGCTTCTAATTCAAATTCCAATGTCTTTTTCTTTGCTTTCAGTACAACTATGTCCTCTTGTTCTTTGTTTCTTTGATTTAGTAGTTCTTGCCTTCGATTCCGTTCCCACTCAAGTTGTCGTTGCCTTTCAAGTTCCCGTTTTGCAGCCTGTGACATTTACAAAGAGACAAATTACTAATTTTTCAGTTCTTACACCACACAATGTCTCTTCACAAAAGTGACATCTAGTAAGTCCTTCCTTTTAGGGAGTAAATAATAAACATTACAAGAAATCACATTACAAACCAGAAAATAACTTCTAAAAATACGGTATTCCTTCTATGGGAATAAAGGGAATATACAGAACTGGCTATTATATTTATGTAATATTATATTTATGTAAGATGACAGGATCATTTCCCCATTAGAATTCCATTCTTTATGCCTTCAAGAATGCTTGATGTACTAACTAAAAGTGCTCCTTCTTACTTACTGACACGCCAAGAAGGAAAATATCTTTATGCAGTAAAATCAAACTAAAACACCCCTGAACAAAAACAAACAAAAGTTGATTTTACTCCACCAAAAGAGAAATTATTATTTAACTCCAGCCTGGGCGACAGAGTGAGACTCTGTCTCAAAAAAAAAGGAGTTATGGCTGTAAGTTTCGTTTCTTTCTTTTTTTTGAGACAGGGTCTTGCTCTGTCACCCCGGCTGGAATGCAGTGGCCCTCCAACTAATGGCCTCAAGTAAGCATCCCTCCTCAGCCTCCCAAAGTGCTGGGATTACAGGCTTGAGGCACGGCACTCAGGCTATTTTTTTATATCGAAAAATTCCTCATTTTTATCTTCCATTCACATGAGAGAATTATGTGTTGCTTCTGCAGTAATGTACTAAAATTGGAAAGAGAGACAAGATAGGCTTAGTCCCTTTCCAGGTATGGTGCTAAATTTATGAAGACTTCCATAGAATATAGGGAGGATGTCCCACACATATTTTTAAAAGAGTTTAAAAAGAAGGTTGCACAGGCCGGGCGCAGTGGCTTATGCCTGTAATCCCAGCACTTTGGGAGGCTGAGGCGGGCGAATCACCTGAGGTCAGGAGTTCGAGATCAGCCTAACCAACATGGTGAAACCTAATCTCTACCAAAAATATGAAATATTAGCTGGGTGTTGTGGTGGGCACCTGTAATCCCAGCTACTCAGGAGGCTGAGGCAGGAGAATCGCTTGAACCCAGGAGGCAGAGGTTGCAGTAAGCTGAGATCACGCCACTGCACTCCAGCCTGGAAGTGACAGAGTGAGACTCTGTCTCAAACAAACAAACAAACAAAAGGAAGGTTGAAGAACAATGTAATTGGTATGACACTATTACAGTGGTTTTTTAAAAAATTGCACAACCTTATACTCTCCACCATATAAACCTTTATATTTTTATATAGGTGTATACAGAGAAAACAGTCTGGAAAAACACGTAACTGGTATCAGTGGTTTGTTACAAAATTGTATCATCAAAAACTTGTACATTAATGTTCATAACAGCATTGTTTATAACAGCCACAATGACCATCAACTGCTGAATGAATTAAAAAACATGGTATACCCATATAATAAAATATTACTTTGCCATAAACAGGAATAAAGGACTGATTCATTTTACAATGTGGATAAAACTTGAAAACATCATGCTAAATGAAAGCCAGAAACAAAAGTCCATATATTGATGATTCCATTTATAAAAAATGTCCTGAATAGGTAAATCTAGAAAGACAAAAGTAAATTAATGATAGACAGGAGCTGGAGGGAGAAAGAAATGGGGAGTAGCTGCTTAATGGGTAAGGAGCTGGAGTGATGAAAATGTTCTGGAATTAGGGATGATGGCTGCACAACTTTGGGAATATACTAAAACTACTGAACTGTAAAAAGACAAAGATGGCATGAATAGATCACTTGGATAATTCTGAAAGGGGGTAATTGCACACTAACTCGGGGTGGCTCCACTCTCGCCTGCTTACCTCTCGCCTCTCAATTTCCTTCCTCCTTTCCTCCTCTCTCTGCCGTTCTAGCTCCCGCTGCTTTTCCAGTTGCTTCTCCAGTTCCAGTTGTCTTTTGCGCTCTTGCTCCTGGCGCTCACGCTCCTTCCTCTCCTGCTCTGCCCGCTCCAGCTGGGCCAGGCGCTCCTGCTCTTTGCGCTGCTGCTCCAGGAGAGCTTGCCTTCGTTTCTCCAGTTCCAGGTTGCCACGTTCAAAGTTCTCCCTCTTCTTATCTTCAAACGTTACTTCAGACAAGGAACACAGCAACTATGAAAGCTCATGATTTTCAACATACTCTTTTCAAAGGAAAACTTACCAGTGTATTTGAAACTTGTAGTACAAACCCAAACTCAGAACTCCCTAAGCTTCTGTGTCCTTGTTAATGAGCACAATAAAAACCCCCTTTGCCTAACCTCTCTGCTTGTATCTTCTCCTCCACGCCAAACACTGTTTCTAAAAGACCCTTATCTAGCAGTTCTACATCACTACCCAGACTCCTTTCCTTCCCTGTTACTCCATCCTTTCCCTTCTTCCCATGAGCTTGCCTTAGGAATTAACCCCCTCTCTTCTGGACCATGAGTCTCTGCCTCTCTCCCTCCTTCCCCTTGTCTTATAACTGTGCTGATGAGTCCTGTATTCTAACAAGATTTCTCAAAGCAGAGCTAAAGGTGAGCTTTTCACACTGAAGAACAAGCTGTGTCCTTATCCCTATAGAGATCACAGTCAGTCAACAATTTTTTCTAATCCATTATTCAGTTTCCCTCTTTGATACATCAATTATAAATTTAGAATGATTACTCGGTTCTATCATTTTTTCTCCAATACTTTGTTTATGTCCATTTTATTTCTACATTTTCTACAATCCCATCATCCGCGTCCCTTACTATCCTCAGCAGTGTCTATTTCATTTCCGTGTCGGCCTCACGCAATTCTCCTTGGTACCAACCCCAGCCAGGGGAGTGTTCATTGCCACCCTGTGCAGCATGCCAGTCCCTGGTCCACGTCTAAGAACCATCACTTCTCACTCTGCCTTGAGATCTGAAGCTGTGAGCATCCTTCTTTGGCTTCTTCCCACATTTCTGTTTGGACTTCACTGCTTTAGATAGACTTCCTTCACATACTGTAGTCAGCGATTAGAGATGAAAGAGGGCAAGTATGTATTGGTTTCCTTGCTCACCTTTGGTAATTTCAGAGGAAACGGTGTTCTCTATTCTGATACTTAAAGTTCAAAGTCCTGGCTGGGTGCAGTGGCTCACACCTGTAATCCCAGCATTTTGGGAGGCTGAGGTGGGCAGATCACCGGAGGTCAGGAGTTTGGGACCAGCCTGGCCAACATGGTGAAACCCCGTCTCTACTAAAAATACAAAAAAATTAGCCGGGTATGGTGGCAGGCACCTATAATCCCAGCTACTTGGGAGGCTGAGACAGGAGAATCGCTTAAAGCTGGGAGGCAGAGGTTACAGTGAGCCAAGATTGTGCCACTGCACTCCAGCCTGGGTGACAAGAGTAGACTCCATCTTAAAAAAAAAAAAAAAAAAAAAATTTCAAAGTCCCCCTACCACAGAAAGGGATGATGTAAGGTGATACATCTGCAAGGTGGATGAATCTCAAAAATATTGTGCCAAGTGAAAGATGTCAGTTATAAACAGTCATACATGATTCAATTTATATGAAATATCCACAATAGGTAAATCCCAAGAGACAGAAAGCAGATTGGTGGTTGCCACAGGCTGGAGGGAATGATGAATATGGAGTTTTGTTTTGGGGTAAGGAAAGTATCTTGGGACAAGAGAGAGGTTGTGACTGCAAGACACTGTGAGTGCACTAAATGCCATTGTTAGGAACTGAATGTTTGTGCCACCTCACCAAAATCCATACTTTGAAGCCCTAATTACCCTAATGTGATATTTGGAGATGGAGCCTCTGGAAGGTTAGGATTAGATTAGCTGGCCAGCCGTGGTGGCTCACACCTGTAATCCCAGCACTTTGGGAGGCTGAGGCAGGCAGATCACCAGAGGTCAGGTATTTCAGACCAGCCTGACCAACATGGAAAAACCCTGTCTCTACTTAAAATAAAAAATTAGCCAGGCGTGGTGGCGCATGCCTGTAGTCCCAGCTACTTGGGAGGCTGAGGCAGGAGAATCGCTTGAATCCGGGAGGCAGAGGTTGCGGTGAGCTGGGATCGCACCATTGCACTCCAGCCTGGCAAACAAGAGCGAAACTCCATCTAAAAAAAAAAAAAATTTTTTTCTATGCTGTTTTACCTTACAGTGAATTGTTGGCATAAGCCAAAGTAATATAAAATATATTGTTAACTATATTTGATTTTTTTTAAATCTAATTCCCCATCATAGAAAACCATAGCTTCTCTCTTC